GAAGGGGGTTCCCTATTCTAATGATGTCATTAGGTATTGTCCCCAAAATTAAACACCTTGTCGACCATCTTCGCGCTATCTGATCCAGGTGTGCCAAGGATTTTTGTCGTGGATTTTAGTTTCTGATGAAGGATGTTATGCACCAGATTAAGAGTCATCAACAAAGCATTTTCCTAAGCATTTACACATAGACATAGAAGTAAGGAATAAGTGCAAAGAATGCACGAGTGACTGAGTCAGTAAGTTATTATTATTTTTTCGTTTATTCTTTCATGTCCAGAAGGATTCAAGTTAGCGCAAGCCGGGAAAAATGAGGTATGTATGAGATTTGTTTGTAATAAAAAAAAAAAAAAATGTCTAGGTTCCCTTCCAGTATAAACACTGGCTCAATTAAAGTTTCGAGCTTTTCATATTTTTGCATAAACAAAACTAAGGTAGAAATCTATTTATTCGCTTCCTTTCCATGCAATGTACCCCACTTCTAGCTCTAAAGATCTGTATTAATTCAATTTTAACTTTGAAAGAGTAAACAATAAAAGCCAAATTGTTTCATTCTCTGGAATTTAGTTTAGCTGATGTCAAACAAGGCACGTGCGGAATTAGTGAAATGTATCCAAGACAACAATTAAACGATATCTGGCTTCAGTGATCTTGTGATTAACTGTAACGCTAAGAGGGATTTACTAGTCATAACCCTTATGTCATCCTGCTCCTTCAAAGTCGGTCTACTAAAGTTCCCGCCAAATTTAATTCATTTCAATCAATCAATCGATCAATCAGTCAATCAATCAATCTTTATTTAAACACGAAAATTTAACTCAGTAAGCTACAGAATTATGTTAAGTTCTCCCTGAAATTATGGGTTGAGGTGTCCAAACCGATCCTTACCATGTCTCCAAAGATTTCCTTCTCGAAGTTCAAGCCAATATTGGGCTAATATAAAAATTCTGCGAAAACAGTGTTTGAATTCCTGGCGCTATATGCATGTTTAGAACATACGATTTCAAGGCAAGAATCAGAATTTCCCAAGCTGATTTCAAACTGACGTCAACTTTTGACCGCATTATCTAATATTAGTACAATGGCTTTCTTATGATCCCTTTCTTCCCTCAACGTAAAGCCCGTACCCTCCAGTACGAAATATGCCTATATGGTAGGTACCACTGCAATTAAGGCCTTCCGATAAGGTTTTACATCGCACTTAACAACTGATACAATAAAAATATTTTAAAACCATAAACATTGTTTACAGAGTCCGACAAGTCGTACAGGAATTCTCGTCTCCTGCAACTTACGAAGCACGTAATCCTGAGTAGATCATGTCATAATGTAGCGCTCATTATTTTCGATTTACGTAATGAAACCTTCGGTAGTTGGACCGAGATGCTCAAAAAAATTTGGTGCGTTTTATATAGTTCTAGATTTTCAAGGGATAATAGATGACCTCGAGACGGTAAAAGCATGGTTAAAAATTTAAAAAAAAACTGTAATCAAATTCTCAGATCGAGCATTTTTTTTTTCTTAATTTTAGCACTTGAAAATACATCACCATATGACAAAGAGGGAAATACAAAAGTACTTTGGAGTAGACACACACGAACAAGGTAAAAATTGTATTAAAACTTGTCTTCTTCTGACCGGAGAGATTAATTTTATGGTATTTATCCTCAGCTTCACAGCCTGCGTGACCGGCGGTTTAGTTGAGGTAGAGCGCGCGAGCAAGCGGCGAAAGCGGCGATGCCGCGAGGAGCCTGGCTTGCAGCTTCGCCGCTCGTTTTCGCGGGGTCTAATACTCCGCGAGCTAAACCGCTAACTACGCAGTCTATCACTTTCATAACTCGCGGTTTTAGTACTCATGGTTATCAGAAAAGGAGGAAAACGCGTGCATGATTTTGGCGGTCATAACCAGAACTGACTGTATCATAGTTACCACATACGTCGGGTATCCCGTGTGTGTGTTTTTCCTCCTAAGGCCTGGTTAAGGACGTTTGCACCCATTTCTGCCAATCCTTACTGAGCTCGAAATTCATGTCAGAACGTCACGCCACACCATACATCAAGCGTGCGAGCTGAGGAAGGAATATAAACAAGCATAGGGCTTGGTATCGGTTGCGTTAACTTCAACTGCAGTTTACTCTATTAAATGGTCAGTGGCCACGTCTTTTCCTTTCATAGATCAATTTCAATACTGATTTTCTTCATTTTAACCAAATACCAGAAAAAATATGCACATTCTGCGCTCGTGTGACACAGGTTTTCTTCGTAGTAGACGGGTAAGATCAAAAATGTTTTTTTTTTTTCCTATCTCAAGGAACGACATCAGCTGCAGAAGTTTACTTAATAGACTTAGTTGCGTTAAACTGAGTACGTTTACCTGATATAAATTTCATTAACGTAACTTCTTTTACTGCTGATAGTTGTAAGCTAAGATCGTTTTTGAATCACGAAAGCTTCCAGAAACACATAGTCTTCAATGCGTATTATCTCAAGAACGAGCGCGGTGACCCCTCAATTTTTTCGCCTTTTTGGTAACAGTTGATCGTTACCTTACTGTATGGCAATTTT